TATGTTTCTCATCCCTTAAGAAGAGCTGGAGTTGTCTCGGTTTTCTTTTGTCTTTCTCACACTTCAGTAAATGCTACTTATGGTTAGATGAGCTTTTTAAGTCAACATGAAATGACATTGACAACCCATTATTTTCCTAAGCTGAATATTTGCAGGAAAATAGGGCAGAATATGAAAGAATACAGCAGTGTTAACTAATACAATTGAGGATTTTATTAGTAAATGTTGAAATGAACTAAGTAAGGTTAACACAGTTTTGTTCATGTTTACTAGTGCAGTTAATAAATGAAACATCAGTGTAAAGTGTTACCCATTAACCAATAATTCATAAAAACAACTAAAGTGACTAATCAGCCAAAATGCAGAATCGATGAAAGATTATGAGGAAATAGAATAAAGTGACTCATGAATCGTTTACAGTAATTAATTACAAGTTAATGTTGATTTCATGTTGACTTTAATGTCCTTTGAATGTGATATTTAACATTTTATTCAGGTGAAAACCTGCAGCTTTTCTTTAAAAGCAGAAATTGCTGTATTGTTATTATTATTATTATTTTTCTTTTGTTCAGTTGTGTCTTTTTAAGTGCATCTGATAGTTTGTGCTGTCTCCTCAAACAATCACGCCGGATCACTGTTCGTGTGTGTGTGTGTGTGGGGGGAAATGGTTGCTTTGAACAATAATGCGTTTAAGAAAGCCGCGTGTGCAGCATTTACTCGTTACGCTGCGAGACACCGACGGATGATTCCTGAGAGAAAGAACAGCATTTATTTAAAATATAATCTTTTGTAACATAATAAATCTCTTTACTGTCACCTTGCTGAATAAAAGTATTCATTAAAAAAAAATCTTACTGACACCAAAATGTTTTAGTCCCCGTATATAAAGTGCTGAAAGAAAACAAACACAAACATATAAAGTGCTAAAAGAAAACTCGCGTTGTTTATGAAGATTGCACAGTGTTATAGAAACTGTGTTTGCTGACTCAGTAAAAGTGTGTGTTGCTCTTGACCTGTAATGGTGACACAAACCTCAGTTGCGTCACGCGGTCGTATTAATGCTGTTGACATGTTACACACACACAGATGAGCTGCTGCCGCACACACACACAATCAATAGATCATGTCAAGGGCCGGAAAGCAATTTTCCGAGGGAGAAAACATGATGGAGACGCTCTAACAAACTCTCCCTGAGCGCTCGAGAACACATCATCTGAGGGATTCATACATCCCGACCATTATTGTATGGAGCCAGATCAGACTCATTAATAATTCACGCAAAAAATACGATTCACACATGCGTAGACAATTTCACATGCGTGAAACCTAATTCACGTAAACACAAAAACAATTCACGTGCGTGAAAAAAAAACATATTCACAAAAAGCAATTCACATGCGCAAAATAAAATTATATATTCATAAAATACATTTCACAAATGCAAAACACAATTCGTAGATATACAACTGTGCACAAAAACCTTTGAATCTTTAAAATGTACGAGTGTGTCCTTGAATTTGAATGTGCAAATCGTCATTCACGTACGAATCGCCTTGGATGTGTGTGTGTGTATTTTTGAGACTTTCCTGGCAGCGCAGCAGTCGTACTCTTCAGCCAATCAGATTTAAGCTCATCAATCGACCAATGAGTATCACATGAGGGCGGGCCTATCTGCATGTTACGTCATCAGCTTTCGACCAGTTCATGGCTGAGCAGAGGTAAGTGCAGTTAATCGTTCATTTCTGTGTTAACTGAAGTTAAAGAAGCTTGAGATCAGTTGAAGCAATAGTTTATCAACTGCTGTTTAGTCCACATGTGAACATAAACATTTATTTTTAGTATTGATGGATTTTCATGTCCTGTCCACCACACATTCAACTGATGATAATGTATGTAATGACGTGCATATATAGGAGACATGTTTTGTTTTAAGCATCATATATTATGTAGTTTTATTGTTTCAGATTTCCGAGACAGATGATGTATGAAGTTGCAGACAACCAGTACTGTGATCTTACCATTCCCACTGTAAATCTTTGAAAACAGTCATGTTGCAAGCCATCCATTTTGACAGTTGTTTCAACAAGAGGTTGAAAGTGATGCATTGTTACTGTATTCATTTGTCTCCTGCGGACTATATGTACACGCTCTAGGAATACAGCCCTGCTATGCATGCATTATTAAATGTTCTTGTCAGAATGAAAAGATTCAAAGACATAGTTCAATTTGATGTACACGTTTTATTAATTTTAACGTTTCCGAAATCCGTTGGGAATAAAATATATATAAAATGACTTCATCATGATTAATATTCCTGTTAAATATGAAGATCATGAACATTCAGTACAGAGAAATATACATCTCTTCCAGAGTTGTGAGATCCAGTCAGAGTCTACTTTGCTTTTAAAGTATATAAATATAAGTGCAATACATCAAGTGAAAAGTGAACAAATGAATTGTGTTCAATCCAGTCATCAGTAGACCTCTCTGTTAGGACATATCAGATTTTGTCCTGATATTTAAAATAGTAAAAACCTATAGTACGAGAGGTGCTGACAGAGGACGTGGGAAATTAAGTGATGGTATTTGAATAGAGTTTACTGAGTAATCTTAGTCGCATAATCTTAATTGCCTCTCTATGATAAAGTAACTTTGTCTTATCAGCACAAAATCAGATTTGCCTATTTTACTAAGCAAAGTAAAATTAATGCTTCACAATATTGTCCTGTGAGACCCTAAGATGACAATAAAAAACCTTATTTAAAAACCTTAAGATGACAATACAGCACAAAACATAAGGAAATGCATGTTGAATATTGGTAACACTACAATATGGTACAATAACATTACTTAATGTATATTAACCATGAGCAATACATTTGTTGCGGTGTTTGATAATCTTTGTTAACGTTAGTAAAAATACAGCTGTTTATTGTTACTTTACAGTGCATTAACTAATGTTAACAAGATTTTAATTAAGTATTAGTAAATGCTGAAATTAACATTAACAAAAAATAATTAAAGGCTGTTAACGTGCAGTTCATTATTAGTTCATGTTAACTAATGAAACGTTATAGTAAAGTGTTACCAATTAAGACATAAAAACAAAAGTATAAAAGAGAATAAAGAAACAACATGAATTAAGATGTTTGTGACTGCTATCCAGATGTCACACCAAAGGTGAGTAATCCTGAAAAATGCAGGGAAACAAGTGTAAATAATAATTTAACAACATACACAAATAGCAAATAAACACTGGGTGCTCATTAAATAGGTCTATTCACCATTATCAGAACAATCTCGATGAGGCCAGTGCTGAGAGAGCTAGGGTGGGTATTGACCACAGATGATTGTTTTGCAATCATTAGCGTGATGATTGTAGCTGAGAGCTGTCTAAAATACAACAAAACAAGCATCATCCTTCTTCATTTTTGACACGATATGGGACATCTGATTACAACAACACTTGCTTACATCAGTTAATAGTTCATAAACTACTGCTTCAACTGATCTCTAACTTCAGTTAACACAGAAATGAACGAGTAACTGCACTTACCTCTGCTCAGCCATGAACTGGTCGAAAGCTGATGACGTAACATGCAGATAGGCCCGCCCTCATGTGATACTGATTGGTCGATTGATGAGCTTAAATCTGATTGGCTGAAGAGTACGACTGCTGCGCTGCCAGGAAAGTCTCAAAAATACACACACACACATCCAAGGCGATTCGTACGTGAATGACGATTTGCACATTCAAATTCAAGGACACACTCGTACATTTTAAAGATTCAAAGGTTTTTGTGCACAGTTGTATATCTACGAATTGTGTTTTGCATTTGTGAAATGTATTTTATGAATATATAATTTTATTTTGCGCATGTGAATTGCTTTTTGTGAATATGTTTTTTTTTCACGCACGTGAATTGTTTTTGTGTTTACGTGAATTAGGTTTCACGCATGTGAAATTGTCTACGCATGTGTGGATCGTATTTTTTGCGTGAATTATTAATGAGTCTGATCTGGCTCCATATTATTGAGCCATACACACTTCAGTGGGATATAAAGTCCCTGTGTAGTGAAGTGCCCTACATAGACAGCACTGTAGGCGTCACGCGTGTGAATGTGAACCGCTGCATGACACAAGAGTGGAGAGAAAAGCTGATTATAAATCAGTTTGTATTTGATTCAATGCCCAAAAAGTGTCAATAATATATAAATAAATTAAATTAAAAATAATAATAGAAAAAAATATATAAACATAAATACAATAATAATAATTATTAGTATCATAAAATAATTATAGTAATAATCATTAAGGTTAAATAGAATAATAATTATAAACAAAAAAAATAATAATTATGATAAATATACATATAATTATTGAAAATGATTTGTATATTATATAATTATAAATGTTTTAAAGGATTAAAATATTAATAATAATAATAAATAATCATTCAACTTCAAGTCAATTTATTTATAGAGCACAACATAAACACAACATTTGTTGATCCAAAGTGCTTTACAGATGGTCAGATAAGTTAATAGAGAAAAAACTAGTAATAATAATTATAAAAACTAATAAATAATCATTAAACATAAATATAATAATTATGCTAATAAGAAAAAGAACAAGAATAATTAATATTCATTCAACTTAAATACAATGATAATTGTAAAAACATTTATAATAAATAACCATAAAACATAATAATAATAAATAATCATTACAATAAATATAATAATAAAACATGCATATAATAAACCAATTTAATTATTTATTAATCATTGGTGTTTTTATCATATTGCCTTTTCCCAACGCTCGATGAGATATTAGCATAGAAACTCCTCAAGGACAGCTGAATATAAACACAACAGTCATATAAATGACAGAGAGAGAGCAAAATACACATGCATTAATCTTTAGTGATGTTGAGAGGTGGGATGCAAAGCTCTGGATGGGTGTGTGTGTGTGTGACGTGTGTTTTCTGTGTTTGCAGGTGTATGCGCCGCTGCTGCTCAGATACACTGCGCTGGAAGATCAACTTCTCAAAGACTCGTAAACTCTCATCCATAAACACACTTTTATTAATACCCCACATCTACAGATCATTACTCTCTACACAGTTAATATACAACTATTACAATATTATTTACTCAAATTATTTCATTAGTTGCATGATAAATGAAGGATGCCAGACTATATAAATAATAATTTGCAATGACAAATGTGTTGTAGCGATGCATTAACACTTTAACTACACATGATTGTGTCAAATAAACAACATTTAAAGGTTTGAAACGTTCCAGAAATCATGAGAACTGCTTTATTTCTGTAGCGCTTTATACAATACAGTGTTTCAAAGCAGCTTCACCGTAATAAACAGGTCATAACTGATGAGTTTTGCAACACTAACTCGATTTCATCTGTAAAGCGGCTCTGAAGAAGACAATAGTGTCATTATTCTGTTCAGGTCAAAGGTCGTCAATTATGCAACAAACCTTCATTCTGTGAATAAACGTGTGAATCCTGTGATCATGTTCATGAAGAGCCAGATCTTCTGTCATAATAAAGCCTGTGTGAGGTCGTCCACGTGTGTTTGGGTGGATTTATCACTAAGACCAGATGTTGTTATTATGGTGAACTTTGCACACGTTAAGGTCATTTTCTTCCAGTTTTGTGGTTCTCTTGATCATGTGATCTGGTAGGAATATCTCATCCTGGTTTAGTAGATCATAAGCCATGTTTCCATCCACTTGTCAATCGAATTATCTGAAGTTCGGTAAAAAACCTCATGTGAATAAAGCTGGTGAAAGTGTGTTTCCATCAAACGGCTGTAAAGCGGATAAAAACCTGTGCGTAATGACGTCACATGCTGTTTTGTGATCAAATCGGTATATCGAATTGATTCGAGACATGTTAAGGTGTTTCCATTCATTTTCTCACCGAAATGCACAACATTCAAGCCAACATTTGCGAACAAAGTTTTACTAGGCAAAATGGATCGCGCCATAATAACGTTTCCATCCGCGATTATCGCATAAGCCGTATATCGATCAAGATAAAATCCCATGAGACCGATCGTATTTCATTTGAGTCGATATTCATGAAATTCAATCTAATTTTACTGTTTCCATAAGGCATTTTTCATTCGATATCACTTAATGCGGATAAAAACGTGTGGATGGAAACATAGAGTCTCATATTGAACACATTATGAAATTGTGATAGCCTTTTATTCCCCTATTGTTCCATATATCCGAGCGAAACGCTTCTGGATTGACAACAGATATGGGCGGGGCTTGATTTTCTGCGTGAGGAATTGATTGGACGGTTGTGGTTTGCTATTGGCCGATCTCCTGTGAGTGACAGGTTCTAGCCCCGCCCTCGTCTTCAGAGAAGAGCAGAGATGAAGAGGCTGGGGAAGTTATTCTGATTTAAGATTACCAGAAACATGTTGAAAAATAATAATAATAATGATGTGCAATGCATGGATAAATCATTTAGAAATAAAAACCCCAGTTTTATTTCATGGTGACTTTAATGTTGGTTCGTGTGTGAATGAGTTCTGCCGTGAGTGTCTCGTACGCAGTGTTGGGCAGTTACTGTAACGCAGTTACTTTTGACAGTAACTCATACTGTAATGCATTACTTTTTAAATAAATTAACTCCGTTACCGTTACCATATGGTGCGTTTGTCCGTTACTTTTTTAAATTAATTAATTTTGGCTGAAGTGTAGCCTACATGTTTACAGCAGCGACGCATTGTTGGTGGTAGGGTTGCCACCCGTCCCTTAAAATACGGAATTGTCCCGTATTTACAAGTAAAATGACGCGTCCGTATCAAATCAATAAGGGACGCGATTTGTCCCGTATTTTACATAAGGCCCACACATAGCCTAGTTGGATAAAAAAATAGGCTTTACTATACTAATAGCAAAAAGCCTATAAATAAATCAATTTCACAATAATGTTGCATTATGATTAGAATCAAATGAATTTTGTCCATTTTCTAAGCTTAGAAAATGCACATTTATACGGGCTGAATTTTATAGGCCTAAAATAAATATTGTTTAGTAATTATGTGAATTACACTGCGCAAACTACTACCCACCGAATGAAGAAGGGTTGGCTCTCAGTCTCCACAGAACAAAATATTCATTTTATTTTATTTTTAGTGTTCGCATTTATGAGGAAAAAACAATGTTACGGACGTGTTCTCCGTTACGGACGCGACGCGCTCTGAAAGCAGCACTAAAAGATGCTTTAATACTTGCAGAGACATCAAACAGAAAGCACAAAACCTTTCTTTAAAGTGAATTTCGTTTTGTATTAATTGTATCTTAATTTTAATCAATGTTTCATCAACCAATTGCCTGGATTTAATAAATAAGAAGTAAATATAGCAGACGATAGATAATCACGAAATGGAGGCGCCGGCGCGTAAACTGGAGCTCATAAATGAACCGAAACTCGGCGTATAAGGTAACCTTCTTGCCTCACAGACATGTCTACTTTTAAACAGAACAATTCAAAACGACAGAAAACAGACTACAGACTGCTCTCTGCTTATGCGATCCGTATGAAATGTGCATTTCTCTCTGGCGCATTCACTACTGCGAAGATCGCGAGTCAGCACAGCGAGTCACCGCAGAAATCCTTGTGATATATTCAGTTTGTGCTGGTCTGACTCAAATAAAATAATGTTTAAAAATTACTTTCTGTTTAAGTCAGTTTTGTGTTTGTATAGACCATAACGCATAAAAGGGCATTATTGGGAACATCAAAGAATGTTTTTTTTTTAAAGTAACTAAAAAGTTACTTTTAACAGTAACGCATTATTTTTTGGTGTAAGTAATCAACAAAGTAATCGAGTTACTTTTTGAATGAAGTAACTAGTAACTGTAACTAGTTACTATTTCTTAGTGTTCATTTCTGATGTTCAGATCTCCTGAAGATAAACTCCAGATACTGAATCACCGTCTGTCAGAGAACACTTACACACTGATATATTGTTCCTCAAGGCCTCGCAACTGCTCACATCCAGTTTTCCAGTGTTTTATTCATTTTCAGGATGGATTTGGGAAATACAGGACAAATGCAGATCGCTTGCTTTGCACATGGACTGTGTTGTAAAATGTATTTTAAGAGTCTCTTCTGCTCACCAACGCTGCATTTATTTGATCAAAAATACAGTAAAAAATTGAAATATTATTAGAATTTAAAATAGCTGTTCTCTGCCTGAATAACTGAATATATAAAATGTAATTTATTCTTGTGATACATCATTACTCCAGTCTTCAGTGTCACATGATCCTTCAGAAATCACTCTAATATGATGATTTGAAGAAACATTTCTGATTATAATTTATTTATAGAGTCTTTTATAACATTATAAATGTCTGTCACTTTTGATCGATTTAATGCATCCTTTCTGAATGACAAATTTCTTGTCATTTTTGAATGGTAGTGTATTTATTTATAATTCATAACATCTTTATATTCATTGTATTCTGTTTTTAGCTATAGCAAGAGCTCAAAAGTGAATTATGATTTTAAAAAGTTTAAACATTGTAACTACTGTGAGTTTGTGCTTGATAAATCAGAAACCTGTTCTAGTGCTTAATAACAAACTCATATTTGACTTATGACTGTATTTTAAGTTTATATTGTAATATGAAAGTCTAATAATATTCACTTTAAATATTTATAGAACAGTAACTTTGTGTTAAAGTTTAAATGTGTTGTTAAAGCTGTAGTCATCCGAGTTTCTCTTTTTCTTCTCAATATTCTTCTTTGATTAATATTCTTATCAGTTTCATATTGTGTATTTCTAGATATATGAAATCTGAAGATCACTTGAGAATGAAGTTAAAGCTAACGTGTGTGTGCTTTAGTTTCAGGTTGATTCTGGACTTTTGAAGCTCCAGATGATCAAATGATGTCTGTGGATTTAACAAATGAAAAGTGTGTTACATTTATATTTCCATAATTTCCCGTCTTTTCCTTCTAAATTAAGTGTAAAGAGTGCCAGGGTTTGTGGAGACTCAGATCTGCTGAGGTTTTTGACACGTATACACTGGCGTATATTCATGTAAAACACACGAGCTGCAGTCGCACGAACAAAGATGCTGAACTTCAAAGGTGTAAAGCAATAGTGACGAATGCATCCGTGTGAAGATCTGATCAAACGCTTCCACACTGAGGCACTCAAACACACACACACTTGATTCTGCTTCACCGTCAGACGAACTCGAGTCCTCAAATCAACACGCATGTACTTCTGTGTGTGTCTTTCATCTGCATACGTGCATTAAGAAGATTCACTGCCAACGCTCTAACAAACGTTCTTCCAGTAACATTAAATATCTCTTTAATAATACTCTCAAAACCTTGGCACAAAACATTATTTATTTATACATCATTCATGGAACTATTTTCCTTCAAATTTTAAGTTGGATGTTCATTTAAAGTCCCGCTATAGTCAATCATTTTATCCCTTAAAAGTCATCTTTGATCACCAAAATTATTTATTTAAACGTTTTTTCCTTGAAAAAAAAAATGTCATGCCTTAAAATATCTTGAATGTAACTCGACACCCTCGCCTCATTTAGTATGCGTGGTTCTATGAATATGCGAATGAGCCCCGCCTCCACTCACTCCCTCAGCTCAGAGATCCACTGGTTGACGATCACACGTTGATCTGATTGGTTACAAGGTCGTTTGTGACGTCAGAAACACCAGCGATTTCAAACCGTGTTTTTGAGACTGTCTTTGGTTCACTGCAGTTTTAAGCAGAAAATACTCAGCAATGCTGTCGACTTATGAACTTACACATGGTGTGTCTTATTAAAAAAACCACATAGACACATAAACAACATTAAACGCTGGATTTTCACCACAGGGGGACTTTAATGTTTTTAAATGTTACTATTTTCGGAATGTTCAGAGAAGCTTCAAAAGGAACATTCCAACAGTGTTTGAAGATTGACAAACGGAATGTTCGCGTAACCGTGACAAAAACTGTTGCAAATGTTCTTAGAGCACATCTTTCTCAGCTGG